ATACTGAGGGACAAGATATGTGTGCATTTGGAGGAAAATGGATTAGTTAGTGACAGGCAGCATGGTTTTGTCTGGGGAAGGTCATGTCTCACCAACCTGATTGAATTTTTTGAAAAGGTAACAAGGATAATTGATGAGGGAAGGGCTGTGTATAGTTTATATGGACTTTAGTAAGGCATTTGATAAAGTCCCACATGGTAGATTGGTTCAAAAACTAAAATCACAAGGGATTTGGGGTGGCTTGGCTAGATGGATAGAAAACTGGCTTGGTCATAGAAGACAGAGGGTAGTGGTGGAAGGATGTTTTTCAAAATGGAGACCGGTAACTAGTGGTGTTCCACAAGGGTCAGTCTTAGGTCCTTTGTTGTTTGTAGTATATATACATGATCTGGAGGAAAATGTGGATGGTCTGATAAGCAAGTTTGCTGATGACACGAAGATTGGTTGAGTTGCTGATAGTGCCAACGATTGTGAAAATATACAACAAGACATAGATAGATTGGTAACTTGGGCACAGAAGTGGCAGATGGAGTTTAATCCAGACAAATGCGAGGTGATGCATTTTGGAGGATCAAATTTAGATATGAATTATATTGTAAATGGCAGAATTCTTAGGAACACTAACATTCAGATGGATCTGGACGTGCAGGTCCATATTTCCCTGAAAGCGGCAACACAGGTAGCCAAGGTGATTAAGAAGGCATATGGCATGCTTGGCTTCATCACCTGGGCCATGGAGTACAAGAGTTAGCAAAACATGTTGCAGCTATATAAAACCCTTGTTCGGCCACATTTAGAATATTGTGTGCAGTTTTGGTCACCACACTACCAGAAGGATGTGGAAGCTTTGAGAGAGTACAGAGAAGGTTCACCAGGATGTTGCCTGGTCTCCAGGGCATTGGCTATGAGGAAAGGTTAAAAAGACTAGGATTGTTTTCACTGGGAGGATGGCGACTGAGAGGAGACCCAACAGAATCTAGAAAATTATGAGACGCATAGATAGGGTGGGATAGTCAGAGGCTTTTTCCCAGGGTTGAAGTTTCAATTACAAGAGGGCACAGGTTCAAGGTCAGAGGGGGAATGTTTAAGGGAGATGTGCGAGGGACGTTTTTTACAAAAGAGTGGTAGCAGCCTGGAATGTACTACCAGAAGAGGTGATGGAAGCAGACACATTGAAGACATTTAAGAGGCACTTAGATGGGTACATGATAGGAAGGGAACAGAGGGATACAGATCGAAAAATGGCAGGTTTGTTTTTAGATTAATTAGGGCATTATGGTCAGCACAGACTTGCAGGGCCAAAAGGCCTGTTCCTGTGCTGTACTTTTTCATTTGACATGAGTGAACCAAATGGGTTTTTCCAACAATGGATTCATGGTCATCATTAGACTGTTAATTCCAGATATTTATTGAATTCAAATTCCACCATCTGCCATGGCAGGATTCAAACCCGAGTCCCCAGAATGTCGTCTGGGTCTCTGGATTAACAGTACAGCAATAATACCACTCAGCCATCACCTCCCCCAGATGCAAACTGGAACCCTCAGATGCAAACTGGAAGTAAAAGATGTGGATTAGAATTCATGATTAATAATTTTAAAGGATTTGAAATAAAGATTGGGACATTGAGGTGCCAAGTGAAATACCGTGAAAAATTTAAATATTAATCCCTTCCATTTTGTTCATCTCCTATGCTTTTTACTTCTCTTCATATTTATGATCAGCATTTATATTTCTAATTTTCCAAGTTTTGATGAACAGTCATCGACATGAAATTTTAACACTCTCCACAGAAGCTGCCTGACTTGCTGAGTATTTCCACAATTTTTGTTAAGGGTAGAATGACAAGAGCAACATTTAACCACCACCCTTCATCCCATCCCTTTGCAGAATCTTTTGGTTTCTTTCTTACATGGGATTGGAATTGTGAAGTTAAGGATCTATTTTCTACAGCTACTTGTTTTCATGGATTGTTTTCTGAAAACAAAGTAAAATGAATTTTAAAACCCAGTTATCAAAATTAAATGCAAAAAGCCAAGTGTAGGCATACAACTCATTGTAAATGTAGTTGTATATTCATGCAGTATTCAAATATGTTCATATTCCTTGTGTCCATCATTGCTTTCTTTTGTCCACATTCATTCTACAGTGTTCAATACGGCCATCCACCTATAATGCTTTTCCTCCATTATCCTGCTCTGTGGAAGTGCCCTTACATGATTCCACCCCTATCTAAATGGAGCTGATGTGTCTCCTGCAATAGCTCATGTACTTTCCCACGTTCACTGTAAAATCCAAAATACTCTAAAACCTAGTGACCTCCCACTTCCTTATCTATATGCTGTTTCTTGGTGACATCACCAAATCTGCTTTCACATATACACTGATGATATACAGCTCCTTTACTTGCAATTGGAGCAACTATGTTACTGGTCTGATTTTAATTGGGGAAGCACAAATGTTGCAATAACCAAAATGAGAAATTCTGTTAATTCCTTGTTTGGAACCCATTTTTTTAAATAAAATTGTTCTTGTGATGTGGAAAACACTGACAAGGCTGTATTTTGCGTACCCAATCACCTCCCACAAGTAAGTTAAATATCAAACTCATAAGGCTGAATTTTACAACAAATCGGCAAAGTGTCAGTTTTGGAAAGTTTCATGGTGAGTTTTTCTCTATAAGGCCAAGTGAGATTTCTTACGCTATCTTCCCAAACTTGACTTATTATCAATGCCCCACATACTTATGGCAGCTCATTCGTCACATGTTCCCACTCACTACAGGCAGAGATACTCATCATTGCCAAGACCTCCTATGATTCCCAGCACTGGAACCATATATAAAGCCCAGCCATGCACCAGTCTGAAGCTGTCCTGCACAGTTCCTGTCAATTGTCCCAGACATGGCAGACAAGAGGAAGTTGGCATCCTGCTTTGCCAATAGGGACCTGGAGGGTGCAGTGAATTGGGCGTTATGGTGGAGAGCCATCTCTTCCCTCAAGACCAGTAGATGTGACCACGCCACCAGATGTTGCGAGCTGATATGAGAACGTGACGTGGGTCAGTGCTGTTTCCATAGTCTGGAGAATGCCCTGCAATTCCTAGAAAAATGGTCCACGCTGCAAGTGTAAATTGTCTTCTTCCTGCTTCCTTATAGTACCGCAGCCACCTCCCACCAAGGCCCACAGAGCATCATCTTCCTCTACTTGCTATCACACATGCAATCCTGCTAGACAACTGACGTGCATGGCCTTTGTGATGCTTACTCACTCAGGACACCTTACCACCTCTATCCTACTTGCATCAGCACTAATAGTTATGCCATCCACTTGTGATTCACTCCCTCCCTCCTTTTGTCTTTCTCCAGGAGAAAATGGCCTACTAAATGGCAATGAAGACTCAAAGCAAGTGGTTTGGTGCCTGAATTTTGGCTCAACCCCATATGAGGAGAGGAGTCTGACCCTGTACATCCCACAGCCATTTGATCATGGGCTGGTATTGGAGACTGCTGTTAATTTAATGTGCCAGGATCTTCTGTTTGAAGGCTACCTGTCTTGACTGAGGACTATTCACCTTAGACTTTGAGATATGGTCATTTGACTGATTCACATACAGTGTGTTTGCCACAGACACTACTGGCACATTGTGCAGGTATGAGATTGACATAGCACAGTGACATACAGCAACATTCACCAAGACTCCTAAGACAGAACCTTCCAAACCCAAACCTCCTACCTAGAGGGACAAAAGTAGTAGAAACATATGTACTCTTAGTTTCAAGTTCCTCTCCAAACCACTTATCCTGAGTTAGAAATATATCACCATTTCTTTAGTGTCACAGGATTACCATCCTGGAACACTTTCCCTAACAGCATTCTGAGTCTACCTGCAATAAATGGTCTGCAGCATTTTAAGAAGGCAGCTCACCACCACATTCTTGAGGGTAACTGGGAAAGGTAATAAGTTCTGGCTAAACAGAGATGACCTCATCCCATCAATGAATAACAAAAGAAATGTCCACCACTTTTGACTGATGGCTACTGATAGCCACGACAAGTTGCCTGGCTTGGTGTATGTGCTAAAAGGCAAGTCAAGACAGATGTACAGAAAGCCTCTGAATGGGCAAAGTGCAAAAATGCAAGGGATGCAAGACAGATGTAGTGAGCATCCAAATAGGCACAGAAGTGAATAAGTGCTAAGAGAGCAAGTGAGAAGCCCTGAGATGCACCTTGGTCGAATCCATGAGTTGAGTGCTTGTACCTGCATGCAAAGTGTCCTTGTGGTAACATTGCAGTGAATGGTCTTGGTGTACTCCAAAGTGCAGCATTGAAGTGCTGAACTTTATTTTATGTGCATCAGAGATGTACCATAAGGTTTTGGTGATGCAGGCACTCACTGTCCATGAAGTGTCCTTTGAGATGTTGATGTCCAAGACGAAGGTCTGTAGGAGCAGGTGATGAGCTGAAGTTACCAGGTAATGTTTTGACCTTCATGTCAGGATGTGATGCTATTCAATTTTTATATGGGTGGAAGTTGGTGTGAAACAGCATGTTAACGATACAAGATTAATTGATAATAATAATAGCGCTCTTGCCACTCACTAATGAGAATCCCATCTCACGCTTCAACACAGTTGGAAAATAGGACATTTTGCTCTCGACATCGAGAAGTTCCTTACTGGACATCTTATTTGATTTTCCCAACATTCTCACCAATGCCCGCGTCATTCAATGCCTCAGAAGATTCTACCCTAGTGTTATTTGGATGTCAACAGTGTTTCAATGGTAGGATTCTTCCCTCTAAGTAAACAGGTTGTAAATTCAGGTGCCATTATTCCGTAGACTTCATACAATCTCTTCTGAAATTGCACAGAATTTTGTATTTGAATGATCTATAAAACTTAATAAAACTAACACTCGAACCATGAATTTTAGCAAAGTAGAAATGAAAGTCAAAATGTTTATTTATAAAACATTTTTAATCAGTACTGTTGAGCTAGTGATATTTATTGTCAATATCAAGTTTGTTGGGTGTCACTTTCTTTACAATGTTGAACAGAACAATCTCGTATTGATGATGTCATCATGTCCGCAACCTTTTTTTTGGGATTCTCTTCTAAATGTGTCTTTATTGCACCAGTGTTTGCTAGTTTCCACTCCAGCTCTGAAATAAAAATCATTAGAGTGCTTTGCATTACCTTGGATATTAGCCATACCTTGCAGTTTTCCATTTGGCTTTGGAAATTAAAATCATTATTTGATAATTTACAGTGTTTTACATTTTAAATTAATATGGTTTGACTAAAATTTTATTCTATCATTATAGAGATATTTGTTGCAAATAATTGGAAACAGCAGGTTGCATGTCCAAAAATTGTGAGCAGCTCAATCTTGAGTGCCTGTATATAATGCCAAGACATGATTTTCTCATCTTAAAACTAAAACTGCAATATAGTTTCGCTGATGCGCATGTAGGGGAGAACTTACCAACCAGTATAAGGTTGGTCAAGGCCAGAGGGAGAGGGGGTGGGATGGGTAAAATTACAGTTAGCCACAGTACATTGGATCTTCAACCATGCCCAGCCTTTGGGGAATTTTAGCAATGGTGGCAATGAGGTGCGATGGGCTTTCTGCAACAAGAAAAAGGTCAATGAAGACCAAAAGGGATGAAGATGGTGTAAATCAGAATCAAAAACAGAAATTGCTGGAAAAGCTCAGCAGGTGTGATGAGAAATCAGAGTTAATGTGTCAGGGCGGGTGAGGAAGGATCACTTGACCTGAAACTCTGATTTGTTTTCACAGATGCTGCAAGAAAAATGTCAATTTAAATATTCAAAAGCCATTTCACAGTCTGTCAGCTCGCCTGCTAAAGGAGGTGGCCTCTGAGCAGTAGAAACATTGACAATTGTTTCAGCAAAGTGAACAATACACTTCCAAATAAACTTGTTTGTAATACCACAGGTGATATGCTCTGCAATAAACTGTTCTGATGTGATTAACATGAAAAGTTTTCTTTGAGCTATTCAGTTTTCATGAGGTTACAATTGTCTGGGCTAATTGTTTCTTGTGGTTACAAACAGGGACTCATTTGTTTAATATGAGATTGACCTGAAAAATATTTAAAATGTAGTATTGTTGAAAATGAGTTGTTTTAACTATTATTCAAATAATAATGATTTACTTCCTGCCTTCTGTACAGAACCAAGAATTCAAAGTGTATTTGTGTGTTTTGTTTTGTTCTGGTTAGTTTTTCTATACTTAGAGTCAGACAGTCATAGAGATATACAGCATGGAAAGAAACCCTTTGGTTCAACTTGGCCGTGCCGACCAGATATCCTAAATAAATCGAGTCCTGTTTGCTAGTATTTGGCCCATATCCCTCTAAACCCTTCCTATTCATATACCATCTAAGTGCCTTTTAAATGTTCTAATTATACCAGCCTCCACCACTTCCTCTGGCAGCTCATTTCATACTTGCACCACCCTCTGTATGAAAGAGTTGCCCCTTAGGTCCCAGATAAGTCTTTGTCCTCTCACCTTAAACCTCTAGATTTGCACTCCCCCACCCTGGGAAAAGACATTGTCTATTTACCATACCCATGCCTCTCATGATTTTTAAACATCTATATGGTCACCCCTCAGCCTGCAACGCTCCAAGGAAAATAGCCACAGTCTATTCAGTCTCTCTCTATGCTCAATTCCCTCCAATCCTTGTAAATCTTATCAGAACCCTTTCAAGTTTCACAACATCTTTCCTATAGCAGGGAGACCAAAATTGCATGCAGTATTCCAATAGTGGCCTAACCAATGTCCTGTACAGCCACAACATGACCTCCCAACTCATATACTCAATGCACTGACCAATAAAAGCAAGCATACCAAACACCTTCTTCACTATCCTGTCTACCTGTGACTCTACTTTCAAGGAACTATGAACCTGCACTCCAAGGTCTCTTTGTTCAGCAACACTCCCCAGGATCTTACCATTAAGTGTATAAATCCTGCCCTGATTTGCCTAGCCAAAATGCAGCACCTCACATTTACCTAAATTAAACTGTCTGCCACTCCTCGGCCCATGGACCCATCTGGTCAAGATCATATTGTACTCTGAGGTAACCTTCACTGTCCACTACACCTCCAAAAGCTAGGTGTACTGTCTGTTTAAAGTTTTGTTAAAATGTGTGGCTAATTGGAAGCAATCTGAAATATAATCATCAAAATGTGCATAAACATTTCACTGGAGAGTCATAGAGATTTTACAGCACAAAAGTGACCCTTTGGCCCATCGTGTCTATGCCAGTCATCAAGCATCCATCTATTCTAAACCCATTTTCCAGCACTTGCCCTATAGCCTTGTATGCTATAGCATCTCAGGTGCTCACACTATCACTTTACAAAGTTATGTTGTTGCATTAGATGCTGTAAATCTGAAATATAAATTTCAGAAATAGACCGGGAAGCATCTACGAAAAGAAAAATAGTGCTAATGACCTGGATTTTGCTCTCAGTAAGACACAAGGTTGTTCAACACTGTGACATGGTTTTCCCCTTTAATGACATGAACTTAAGTCTAATGCTAAATGAAGACGACGTATTGATGTGCAGCAATAGTAACAGCCAACAAGGAAGCAACCAATCACATTGAAGTATTCTAATAGATAACAAACCAGGAAGTAAAAAGCAATTAATTATCCTTCACCCCTAATTTAAAATTTCAGATAGCAAAATAACTGATTTTTTTCTTGGATGAAGATAGAAGGTAACAAAAAACAAATAATTTGGAATATAAAACAAAATGTGGTGTGATTTTTATATGTTATAGTAAAATTTGACATTCCACAAATAAAATCAGTGTTTCAGGATAATGGAGAGTGTTCATTAGTAATTATATCAAGTCAGTCCACCATTGCATACCTAATTACACCTCATTCAACAATGTATCATTTTTTTCAAAGGCATATACCTTTGAGTCATTCCCTTGACCAAAGGTCATTCCCTTGTTCAAAAAAGGGAAGAGGAATAACCCCGGAAATTACAGGTCAGTTAGTCTTACGTCAGTGATGGGCAAATTATTGGAAAGGGCTCTGAGAGACAGGATTTATGATCACTTGGAAAGGCACAGTTTGATTCGTGATAGTCAGCATGGATTTGTGAGGGGTAGATCATGCCTCACAAACCTTATTGAATTCTTCGAAGAGGTGACCAAACATGTGGATGAAGGTGGAGCAGTGGACATGGTATACATGGATTTAAGTAAGGCGTTTGATAAGGTTCCCCATGGTAGGCTCATGCAGAAGGTAAGGAGGCATGGAATGGGGGAAAATGTGGCAGATTGGATTCAGAATTGGCTGACCCTTAGAAGACAAAGGGTGGTAGTGGATGGAAAATACTCAACATGGTGTTCAGTTACGCGTGGTGTACCACATGGATCTATTCTGGGTCCTCTTCTATTTGTGGTTTTTGTAAATGATTTGGATGAAGGAGTGGAAGGGTGGATTAGCAAGTTCACGGACGATACGAAGGTGGGTCATGTGGACAGCGCGGAGGGCTGTTCTAGGTTACAAAGGTACATTGATAGGGCTGAGAAGTGGCAGATGGAGTTTAACCCTGAAAAGTGTGAGGTGATTCATTTTGGAAGGACAAACTTGAAAGCAGAATACAGCGTTAATGGAAAGATTCTTGGCGGTGTGGAGGAGCAGAGGGATCTTGGGGTTCATGTTCACAGTTCCCTGAGAGCTGCCACCCAGGTGGATAAAGTTGTTAAGAAGGCATATGGCATGTTAGCTTTCATTAATAGAGGGATTGAGTTCAAGAGCCGTGAAGTTATGCTCCAGCTATATAAAAGCCTGGTTTGGCCACATCTGGAGTGTTGTGTCCAGTTCTGGTCACCTCATTACAGGAAAGATGTGGAAGCGTTGGAAAAGATGTAGAGGAGATTTACCAGGATGTTGCCTGGAATGGAGGGAAGGTCTTACGGGGAAAGGTTGAGAGAGCTAGGGCTTTTCTCTTTAGAACGACAAAGGATAAGAGGTGACTTGATAGAGGTGTACAAAATGACCGGAGGTATAGATAGAGTAGACAGCCAGAGACATTTTCCTAGGGTGGAGGTAGTTTTTACGAGGGGACATAGTTTTAAAGTGAAAGGAGGTAGATATCAGGGAGACGTCAGAGGTAGGTTCTTTACTCAGAGAGTGGTAGGGCGTGGAAGGCATTGCCAGAGAGGGTAGTGGAGTCGGCCTCATTAGGGGCATTTAAGCGGCTATTCGACAGGCATATGGATGATAGTATATGGTAGCAGTTAAGGTTAGATAGATCTTAGGTTTAGGGTAAAAGTTCGGCACAGCATCGTGGGCCAAAGGGCCTGTACTGTTCTATGTTCTATGTTCTATATACAATTAAGATGAGAGTCCACATCGTCTTCAACTCAGTTAATTTCCAGTGATTACAGGCTCAGGAATGTCTCATTAACACTCCCTCAGAAGTGGAGAGCAACTTCTGAATTTTTTATTTTAATCATTTCCTGGATGTTGCATTGGAGGTTGACACTTTTAAATATAAACAGTTTTGTTTTTCTGACTAAGCAATGTCAGATGGTTCAGATGCTGCCCAGAAGATTTGGATCAGTACAACAAGAGAATCTAAAATAAGTAAAGGGGAGAAACTTTTGGATCTAATGTAAACTTTAAAAATTGTAATAGAAAATAATGAGACTTGACATAGAGGAATTTCCAACATCAAAAGTATTCCAACTGAGTGCTTAAAAAAAGTGAAGAAATTTTGGTTATGAAGTTTGCAAACAAAGAAAAAAGTTTGGTTATGAAGTTTGCAAACCAAGTGAAAAAAAAACAAGGGTCTAGGCCCAAAACATCAGCCTTCCTGCTCCTCTGATGCTGCTTGGCCTGCGGTGTTCATCCAGCTCTACACCTTGTTATCTCAATCTACAGACCTGTTAGGTTAACACAAACTATAGGAAAGGCACTATCATCAGAGACCATGACTGGCAGATCAAACAAAGTGAGCATGCATTTATGAAAGATAAGTTATGTCTTGACTGATCTAGTCAAACATTTTGAGATGATCAAGACTGGAGTGGGCCTACAGAAGTTGTCTGTATCAAGTTTCAAAGGCCATTTGATAAGGTTCTTCACATGTGCAATGCCATTCTGAATTAGAGACAAACTTGTGACATGAGTTGGTATTTAGTTGGGTGGAAGGGGATAAAGGGATCATGCTCAGATCGACAAACTTTGAAAAGTGGTGTTCCCTGGAGATATGCAGTAGCACATCAACATTTCACCACATATCAATGACTTAAAGATTCTTCTTGCAATTGTACAGACATTTTTGAGGTTGAAAACTCATGAGCTACAGATAAGTGCTTATTTTTTATGTGCAGCTCGCAGAAATAAATGATCCCAAAAAATGTGTGGGACAGACACTTTAGGATCCTCCATGGATATGGTGAAATCTTTTCAGTGAACGCAAATTCTCTGCTTGATGTTTTGTAGGCATTAAGTGTGGTGTTGGAGATTATTGAAGTGTGTATTTTGAAACCAAACAGCACTGAATTTTTGAAAGCAAATGAGTTGAATATTTTAAAGGCCATCTGAGAGATCAAATGACAATAATATTTATATTTGGATATTTGCTTACTTTTGGTACTGTAGTACTTATTTTGATAACTACCCTGGGGTGCTTCTCCCTCAACAAACTATAGATAGATTTTCAGCATTTAAATCAATAACTTAGACGAAGTAATTGAGACTTGTATCTGCCAGAATTTTCTGATCAATAGCACATATTCATCAAATCAGTTCTTCTGTATCTGGCCTCACACATGAAGACACTTTAATGAGGTATCAATGGGTTGCTGATGGATTGTATGAGTCTGGTTTTTATATAGCAGAAGTAGAAAATTTTCATTTAAAATTATTTTTGGACAACACTTAAAAGACATTTTGATAAGTACATGAATAGGAAAGGTTTGGAGGGACATGGGCCAAACACAGGCAAGTGGGACTAGTTGTGTTTGGGAATATGGTCAGCATGGACTAGTTGGACTGAAGGATCTTTTTCCATGCTGTATGACTCTATGAGTGGGTGAGCATGTGTAAGTGTGTATTGTTTGGGTGTACATACGAGTCATCAAGCTTATAAGCGTAGGACACGATGACAGGATTGGATTTAAACATAATGTCCCAGAGTTCAACAGCTTGTCAATACTCACATATGAGAAACATTCACTCAGCTGACATATTAGATGTCAACCAGTGTCAATAACTCTGTATCCTGACAAGAAGTTGGTGCTTTGATAGAAGAGCAGAAAGTCGGGGAGAAGTGAACATACAAACATCAACATATTTTTATTGTATCAAATTGATGATACCAAAACAAAATGTTGCAACAGTAAGCAGTACTTCAAATAATTTACCTTCTAACTTCAGATCTGGAGCTCCACACTCTATTCCAATGAACCTGCTCTTCATTCGGCCCTCAAAATACACAAAAATTGTTGGCAAATATTTATCTGGGTAGTTAGGAATACAAATGTTTGCAATAGCCTTCATGAATTTTGTTTCTGGATACTTCTTAGCTAGTTGGCTCAAATGATGGTTGATCAAAATGCACATTGGTATGCTGTAGTTGTAATAAAGAAAGAAGCAAATTATAGTTTGGTCTAATTTTTGAATTTAAATTAACAAAGCTCAACTGTTGAGTAACTCTCCACACTTCTCCTTCATAATGTCAGTGGAAAAGCTACAAAAACATCTGGAAAATTATTCAAATTATAAAGAAAAATTACAGAACCCTGATGAAACTCACTCCGAATGCTATAAGTTGCTATAGATTGTGGTAAGACTAGAGAATTAAAACAAACTCACATTTTCATTAAAATGTTACCAATACACACAAAAGTATTAACTATTAACATAGTAACAAGAGTGCTTGAAAGGGATTATACTTATGATTTAAGGGCAAACTTTTCACATTTTCAGTTTAAGTGTTCTGTTGAGTGAGATTCATGGCTCCAGGTCTGCTGTGGCTCAAAGTGACTCCTAATGCAATCAGCCTCTTCACTCCATAAATTATACAACAATGTTCTCAGAAACCTTTCTCAGTTGAATAATGTGGCAAGAGAGTCAGAAATGTTCTTCCAACATACATACTTTTAACACCGTATTTAAAGCGCAGCTTCAGGTGCTTAAAGCCAGAAATGATGCCAACATTGTGATGCTCAAGCCTCAACATTTAAGATTTGGCTTAGAGGAAAGGCTTGCTCCCTATTTTGCAGACTGGAACCTAGGGAAGTTAATGGAGTGGGTAGTAGAGAGGGGTGGAGAGGAGGGCAAGAGATAGTAGGAACTGCAGATGCTGGAGAATCCGAGACAACAAGGTGCAGGGCTGGATGAACACAGCAGGCCAAGCAACATCATAGGAGAGGAGGGCAGTTGTTATTCCAGCTGAGTGCTAAGGCAGCCTGGACATAAATTACAACCCGGGTCAGTTCTATGACCAGGATGAAGTGGGATGCCCAGTCATGCAGCGAAAAGGTCAATAATCTTGTGTCCTTTCCAAGATTAAATGCCACTATCTTCTCTTTACTATCTTACACTCAAAAGGCCCCCACTCACTCTAAATCTGCCACTACACACACATTTCGTGAAGTTGCAATTCTTACTATTTCATGCATATGGCCATTCAACAGCTCCTACCCATTTCATCCTCCCAAACAACTGCCCATTCCTGTTCTCTGCACTTCTTATTCATTCACCGGGGTTACCCAAGCAACTGTGCTGCTTTTGCATTTGCTTGAAGCACATGCAGTATGTTTGCCATTTAAACTGCTCCCTCATGCTACAGCTGTGATGTTGACATGGCATGGTGCTGCACAGTAACGTGTCTACCCTTTATCTGACTGGTGGATTGACTGGTTAGTGCTCCCCAAGGTTACAATCTGCCTGCCTCTCGCTCTGCACTAAAAGGAAATGCAAGGCACAGAGATTGGCAGCCTGTAACTGAGCACTTTAAAGACCCTGTGTGCTAAGAAAGCAATTTAAGAGGCATAGAAGTTGGAGGCTTATAAAGTTAGTGCTGAAGTCAGTGAGTGTTTGCTGAGAAAGCAAATGAAGTATGCAGGTAGTCTCCAAGTAAGAGTAAAGTGAATGAGCACTAAGAAAGTAAGCAAAGGATCATAGATGCATCCTGTGCAGATGCGTGAGATACGTGTATCCCTATGTTCAAAGTGACCTTGTAACAACATGCAAGTTCTGGGTATTCCTGAGCTCCAAGGTAAGGGGTGAAGGGCTGAAGTGGTGTCTGCACTGGTCCAAGAGCCTAATGGTATGGTGAGGCTTGTGGTTTGCCATTACTTACGTGTACAAAGAGGACAGTGGCCATAGAACACACAGAATGTCAAAAGAAGCAGTTGCGACATCGCCAAGGCAAGCATTCAGCAAGCTGCATTTGTCAGATACCCATTCATATTTACATGTTAGGAATTTATGTCATCTAGTGTCCCGGTGAAGGAGAGGAGAATTGAGAGTAGCATAGAAATGAGGTGATTTGGTGCTTTAATGAGATGCAAATGTGTGGAAATAAACTAGGCAATACTCAGTGGTGAGATTCTGAACTTGTCACTTGAGGGTTGAAAGGAAAATTGGGAAAATCATTCTTAATCTCAGGAATTTGATTTTTGCATTCTCACCAAATTTTCCCACTTTTTTGCCCATTACCCAGACCACACCAGGGAAGGAAAAATTTCACCCTGTGTGTATTGGCTTCTCTAAAAAGTCAAAATTTTTCTGTTCTGTTATTTTTGCAGCATACATCTATAATCCTCCTCTAGCGATATGTGCCAGTATGTTCCCATCATGCTTCCTCTTGTGATCACATCTTTAGTCTTTTGCTATTTGCTCTCTCTTTGTCTTTTGTGACATTCTGTGAGAAACACCTTCTTTGAGACATTTATTATGTTGTATGTATTATGTAAGTGAAAGCTATTTTTTTCATCCATATTTATCTGCCTCAGCATAAAGATGCTATTTATTTTACTCCTTACTTAGTAGATTACCATTTCAATCAATCTGATGAAGTTTCTTTCCAGTTTAGGTTGGTTAGTGTACTTGGTTCAGTGACAAAACATCAGCATTTGGCACCCAAGGGTAGATTAACCACAAGATGGCAATCTAAGCAAAACAGTTGAGTTAGTAGCCAAAATTGTAGATTGAAATAATTCTAGTAGCGTGAAAAAATATTTCAGTTTCAGTGGGCTGTTTCAGTTAAAAGAAATACAGAGCAAATGAAATGTTATTTCATGACATATGGACTTAATTAAGCATAAGATAAAAATCCAATGTTAAACCAAATTCCTTTTAAATTATGTGGAATTCAGATATTTGTGCTGATATTGTGAGACTGAATTCTGTGATTCAGTCATAGAACTTGAAGCTATTAGTTTTTCATGCAAAAGTTAATTACTCTTAATTTTGAATTCCTCAATGACCACAAAAATTGTGTTGTTTCTTTATTAGTCTGAATGCACAAAGTTTCATTTGTACTGCATTTTTTTTGTAAATGGATTAATTTTTAAAAATTCATTCTTGGGATGAGGGCATTCTTGGCTAGGCCAGCATTTATTGCCCAGAGGGCAGTTAAGAGTTAACCATATTGCTGTGGGGCAGGAGTCACATGTAGGCCAGACCAGGTAAGGATGGCAGTTTCCCTTTCCTAAAGGGGATTAGTGAACCAGATGGGTTTTTCCCCAACAGCAGGCAATGAAATCATTGTCATTGTTAGACTATTAATTCCAGATTTCTATTGAATTCAAATTCTACCATCTGCTATGGCAGGATTTGAACACATGTCCCTGAAACATTACCTGGGTGTCTGGATTAACAGTCCAACAATAATACCACTAGGTCATTGCCTCCCGTAGTAATATGTTCACATTAAATGCTAGCTTATACAAAATTAAGTCATTGTTTGATGAGGACAATAAAAGTGATGCAGCACTGCCCAGTGTACTGCACTGAGTACCACTAATCCTGAAAGCCTGCCATGTTTGGGGTTCTATATCAACTTCGCTATACAAGTTAACATTGATAAACTAGATATAACAACCATAAAGTAGAATTTATCATTAGTTTCCTCTACAGGGATGTGCAAACATTTGAATAAGCAGCAAGATCCATGTGTCATGACTAATAAACGGATATGTGTAGATATATTCTAATCAACTTGTTCAGGCTATTACATATCCCCACAGCAGGTGGAACTTAAACCTGGGCCTACCTGGCCCAGAGGTAAGGACTCTACCACAACACCCTATGAGCATGTACGTCACTGGGATACTGCACCATTAAAGCCCTACGGGTATTTGCACCACTCTTCTAGTCCCAATCAGAGCTCTTAGCAAAGCAGGAGGGAAACTTACTTAGGTGGGAGGCAAAAATTCATCCCCAAACTGGATTTAAAGTTTTAGTATTAATTTTTCAGAGCCTTGGGCAGGACAGCTTTCTGGCTAGAACCATCTTTTACATTCATTAGCATTCTAGGAATGCGCATTAACATGCCAATGCGCTTGTATCTTCTGTTTGTTTCAAGTGCATCTCAATGTGTACTTTATTGAAAATATTACTTAGTGCAAAATAAATTTAGTAATACTCTTTTGAATTGTAGAGTCTGAAGAAAACCAGAAACATTCCTTTTCTAATTCTCTCTATATAGTGTTTGCCTTTGCTCTTGGTTGTTTTATGAATTCAGCTCTTTTCAATGCTTTGAGTAGTTCCAGTAGAACTTTGTAACCAGTCACATGTTTTATACATCTAGATGGCTTCCAGAACTTCCAAATTAAGGAATTTGTAATATAGACAAAACCAAGACCATTAATTTTGTTCCCTTGGCAATATTCTGCAATTTCAAACATTTCAACTCGACTAGTAACTTTTCCTGCGTGAACAATACATACGATGCAAGATGTTATGGTGTTAAAAGTTGATTCTGTCATTGCTGTATGTTGGAACACCAAAGTTAATAACACAACTAAAAAGACTGTTATGTCTGTGAAACGGATTAACTACATACCCAGGTCTATAAAGATGAAGTATGACCCATATTTCATCTCCTGCATAAGTAATTTGCTTTACATACTCATCTCCTTGGAGTTCAGCCAACTCTCCAAATTTACTTTTTCTTTGTAAAGCCTGCCATTCTGCCAGACGCTTGCACCTAAAACACAAACATGATTCACTTTCATTATGGCACTGCTCTGCTTAAATGTTTCTTTCAAAGATAGCTCTGGAATCCACATCTGTATACCCATCAATCAGAAAACATTGTTATTTAGAATCAGAAAAGTCTGTATGGAAGGAGTTTAGTTATGTCTTTGCGGCTCTGCATAATAACTCCAAACTGAAAATCTTTTCTGTGATCCCCATTTCCTTTCTCTTTTTGTCACATTGTCGTATCTTTCATTCTTAAGGACCTGAATGTCTGATGTCCCATTGTGCTGCAGTAAGTGAAGCACACATCTATCCAAACACCAAGCCTGACATAATCCCAAATGTGTGAGAGTTATTTTTGTGACAGGTGCTTGCAAGGACTCTACAACTGTGCCCAGCATGACGTTTCCTTGTAACATTGAATAGCTTACACATCATAGATACAACTGAGATAACAAGGTGTAGAGCTGGATGAACAC